TGTGAAGAACTGATGATCCCTTCACTCTTGCATCTGTCATACCTATAAAACCTGTACCACTATGACACTGCCATGTTTGGCTGCTAGCTTGGGATGGACCTTGGCCTTCTTCATCCACATTAGCCCAGCTTTTGTATGTTGTGGTTTTTAGGAGCAGAAAACTCCATTTCACAAGTTGAATGCTTAGCTGAGTAGGGTCTTGCCCTGAGGGTAGTCTTCCCATGGTTTAAGTTCAAATCTAGAGGGCTCTCCTTAATGACTCTAATTTTATTAACAATGACAGCCTCTCCTTCAGGGTATACCCTGGCTGCAATATTTAAGCTTCCTAGAGCTTTCTCCCTCCAAACTGTTCATTTTATATTTCTTTCTGTATCACTTGCTCTTTTCCATTGTAGACATGCATAATACTAACCATTAACAACCATGCCACAGAGTCGACATTAAGTTGCCAAGAAATTTCCTTTGCCAAAGAAATCAGTCCATTACTTTTTAACTTTGCCCCAGGCAAGTTCTTAGGCTGTGGGCAGATGGCAGTTGGATTCTTTGCCAAAATATCCCAGTTGCTTTTTTAAGTCCTTGTTTCCATCTCGCCCCAGAACATATTGAGCCATGCCTTTGCTTAAGGTCTGTTCACAGCATTCAATCACTTTTCTTTTTTATTATTTTTATGTATAGGAGTGTATTGCCTACATGTATGTAAGTACACCCATGTTGTGAAATGCCTTCGGAGGCCAGAGGAGGGCGTTAAATCCCCTGGAAATGAGTGTGTTATGTATGGTTGTTAGCTACCACGTGGGTGCTGGGAACCAAACCTGGGCATCCTACAAGAGCAGTCAGTGCTCCTAACTGCTGAGCATCTCTCCAGCTCCTCAATCACTTTTCTACTCCCAAACAACATGATCAATCAGGTTCTTAGCCCACTCTTAGTATCTAGTTTTGTCTTAATCACTTTTCTGCAGCTATGACCAAGACAACTTAGAGAAGGAAGGTTTGATGCGGCTTACAATTCCAGAGGGATGAGAGTCCACCATGGTGGTGGTGGAGGGCATGGCAGGAGGCAGCTGGAACAGAAAGCTGAGCACAGGAAGCAGAGGGGCAACAAACTGAAATGCGGAGAGGCTATAACTATGAAAGCCCACCTCCAGTAATATGCTTCCTCTGACAAGGCTGCACCTCCTGAACCTCCACAGTGCCATACCTGGGGGCCAGGTGTTTAAATACGTAGAGCCTATGGGAAACATTCTCATTCAAACGACCAAAATAAGTATCTGCATCCATAATCTCTATATCCCAAGTAATGGAACCACAGAGAGCAAGGACTAGCAGGGTCTTATAGAATCCACACAAGTGTTTATACTCCCTTCCTATACCCCAAGTAATGGAGCCACAAAGTGCGAGGGCTGGAAGGGGCCACATGGAGTTCTTATGTAAGTGTTTATGTAGACTGAGGCTGAGTAAGAAGAAATTCCTTGTTTGTTCTCTCAACGGATCCCATACTGAGCTCCTGTGAGTTGCTGAGGTTAAGTGACTTGTCCAAAGCCACTCACATATAAACTAGTGAGATGGGACTCAGGGCTTGAGGCTTCAGAGGTATCTGAGTATCTGATTCATGTCCTTAATTCATAAAAGAGTAAGTGGAGGCTGTGGAAGTCATGTGAACTTTAATAGCAAACACGGGAAGAGAACACAGCCCCTGACTTGATTCTTAATGACTGTCCTCCTAACACATATTAGGCTGTGTCCTTTAAGAGGTTCCTGCTGAGTATGAACTCTGCTCCATGGTCTCAGACAGATGGGCCTCATGAGCTGCTCTTGGCCCTCAGCCCTGGGTTACCCCCACTGAAATCACCTGGCTACCTATTTCTACATGATTTACAGCTCCCCAGATGACAGGCTTCAGAGATCCACCACAAATCCCCCTTAGATGCAGCTTCCTGATCGCCGTTCCACCTGGTACAAGGAGCTCCTACGAATATCTCACTTGACCAGAAACAGCCCCATGGCATTAAACACAAAGGCTTCCAGTTTCCACTCCCCATGACTGACTGCTACTTAATCGGTCTGGTGTGGACTATAACAAGAACAGGGCATTTGAAACAGAAGACAGAAGGAAGGAGGGAATATTTACAAACAAGATAGGTGGGCACTTGATGTGGCTGGGGCTGATGCTCTCAGATACAGACCAAGAACTCAATAAGGTTCAGCTTCTCTTCTCAGCCACTTTAACACAGTGCTGGGAATGGGACCCAGGGTCTGGAGCATGCAGGCAAGCTCTGCCACCGAGCTACATCCTCTTCTCCCCACATTTTGAATACATTTCCAAAAAGCATCCCATCTGAGAAAAGGAATTGCTGCCAAAATTTGTGCCTTGGCACCTTCCCAGTCTCCATAAGCTCTCATTGGTCATTGTTGTTTGCTGCTTTGGCTTTTATACTTCGTTGGACTCAAGGAAAACAAGAGCGAGCTCTTGCCTAGAATGACAGGCATGTCTGGTCCTTAGCCACAGTATCTGAAGATAATATGCACAGCATGAACTCTTTAGCCGGTCTAGCCTCCCTTTCATCTGGTGCCATGGCTGCCACCTCTCTGTTCCTCTGTCCTGCTGTCTGTAGGCACTCCTGCAAAAGTATCTGGGTGTTGGCCAGATGTCAACAGGGTACTACATTTTGGGCAGGAGGATTTGGTAACTTGTGGCTGTTTTTTTCTGTGTAGTACTTTCATTTTTGTGTTAAGTATCTTAGTTTTTTTTTAAAAATAACCCTGGGGACTGGGGAAATGGCTCAATCAATAAAGTGTTTGCTATGCAGGCATGAGGACTTGAGTTGGATCTCTAGAACCCATGGAGAAAAAGAGTCGGGAATAGGGACCACAGAGATGGCTCAGCAGTTAAGAGCATGCATTGCTTTTCCAGAGGACCCGCGTTTGATTCCCAGCACCGATATCAGGCAGCCAACAACCACCTGTAATTCCAGCTCCAGGGGATCTGATATATCCGGCCTCTCAGAGCTCCAGTACTAATGTGCATGCATATACATATATACACACACAATTAAAAAATAAAATAAAAAAATTAAAGTCAAGAATGGTAGCATATGCTTTAATCCCAGTGCCAGGGAAGCAGAGAGGCAAATCCCTGGGGCTCACTAGCCAGTGAGAAGCCGTCTTAAAAAAAAAAAGTGAGGGGCTAAGAGATGGCTCAGCAGTTAAGAGCAGAGGACCCAGGTTCGATTCCCAGCACTCACATGGCAGCTCACAAGCATTCCTAACTCCAGTTTCAGAAACTCTTACACAGTCTTCTGACTTCTATAGGCATTGCATGTACGGGTGCACTTATATACATGCAAGCAAAATACTCATACACACAAAATAAAATAAAAAATATTTTTAAAAAACCCAAAGTGGATGGGGCCCGAGGACCGAGTTGAGGCTGGTCTCTGGCCTCCACATACACACCCATCTGCACACACGTACACCTCCCCACAAAAGTATCTTTCTGTCTTAAAAATAAAAAGGAATAGGAGGAAAATGCAGAGCATCCATAGAAGTTGATCTGACGGGATAGATCTCTGCGGACCTTGTCTCTCAACTTAATTAGATCGTAATCAAATTAAGGGTAGCAACCAAGCCCCATTTGTTCTGATATTTCCCCAGTACTTTGCTCCAAATAAATATGTGCCTAATAACTTTTTTTCAAGGCTTACTAGCTATTTTATTGGGCTAATAGGCCAGTGTTTACTTCTGGGATTGCCTTACACACTCTAGGTTGGCAAGGCCTCCCCCAGTTCTACCAAGTTCCCATCTTGAACCTGTTCATGCCTCAATTGCAGGTGGGTTCAAGAGGATCTGGATGTAATTTGTATGCAATTAGCATATGATTTGTGTCATCTACACTCACAAAGTAATTTTCAAGTTAGACCTGCATCACTGCTTCCGTTAATGCCACCATGCACCCATTCCCCACTTCCTCACTCCTCCTCTGTCATCTCCTGATTCAGATCCTTACATTTGAAAAGAAGGGAGCACAGAGAACTCTTGGAAGGGTGAAGCTGACCAAGGACATGGGATCCTTGCAGAATATTTAGAGAAATACACATACACTGGGAGACACCTCGTGAAGGATGCTGGTCCTCCAGCCCTACTACCTTCCTGGCTTCAGTCAGCATCCTCAGGTCTGAGACACCCTCAGAATCCTCCTTTCTTACCTGTACTCTCCAGGAAAAGGAAAGGACCAAAGCTACTGCTGAGCCATGGTTATCCCCTGCTCAAGGGGATGGAATGACCAGCCTTATTTAAGATCTTTGCTTAGTTTTGTTCCTCCAGGTGTCTGGTGATCCCCCTGAGGTGAGCCCCCATCTTCTCTGCCTCTTTCCCTTCCTACTGTTCCCTCTGCTCACACACATACACAGAAAATATGATCTGAGGGAATAACTCCCTCCCTGGATCCAGGAGGATGGGCTTGCTCAGTTGCTACCCAGCAAAGAGTCCTGGCTACTCTTGTGGGGTTCCCCATCTCTGCAGGCAGTTTCAGCTTTCCAGAACCGACCAGCCCCATCTGCACCAGCCTCAGACTCAAGCCAAGATCCCATCTCCTTCTAGGGCTCTATCTCAGTCTTGTCTCCCAAAAGCTGGCCCAGCCTGGAGGCCTGGATTATTTACACCTCTTTGGCTCCCATGAGCAGCAACTCTGTGGGCCCAGGAGCAGTAAATCTACCTCCTAATCACACCAAGCTGCTGCGCTCAGTCTGGCTTGTTCTTCTGAGGCTGTTCATCACTCACCCAGACAGGGGCTGTGGCCTGGAGAAAAGCCTCCGGGAAGAGGCTGGCTCCACTGCTTTCCACTGCCTCCCTGCAAATAAATGCTGTAGGTACTCAGCCTCTCTCAGAGCCCTGTGCAGCAAGTTCGGGGTCTCTGTTGCAGGGTAGAACAATTTCTGACCAAGGTGACAGGTTATCAGAGGTTTCCAGAGTTTCAGGATAGCCTGGTATTAGCTAGCACTTACCTGTCTCTCAGACATGACATACAGGTAGAGCTGGTCAGTGGAGAATGCCATATCCCGGAGAATGGGGCTACCATCTTTGAACACAGAGACCATCTCATACTGGACCCCACCATGAGGGGGACCATCAGCTCGAATCTGCAAGAGAAACAAAGTGTCCTCGGTATTGATACCCAGCTTTTCCCTAGGCCACTTGCTTCTGCCTGGAGGGGGCAGTTTACAGAAGACAGTTGCAGCCCTCTAGGCCATTGCTCTAGACAGAAGTCTGGTCACTTATTTGAAACATCCCAGTCCATTCCCAAGCACTCTCAGTGTGCAGCGTATGGGATCCCCTTCTCTCTTCCTGTTCTCTCCTCCCCTTCTCTGTTACTTTCCCATCCTCTTTTTCTCCCCTTTCTTTCTTAGTTATGGATCTCATTATGTAACAGTCTGGCAGTCTGGCCTCTAATTCATGATCCTCCTTCCTCAGCCTCCCCAGTGCTGGGATTACAGGCATGCATCACCACACCCAATTTTGGTCTGGGATTTCTAATGGCAGTTGATCTGTGTACATATGCATGGGAAAGATTCTGACTGTCCCTATGTGTTCTTGTATGCATCTACATATGTTTACAGAGTGTGTGCTATGCATGTAAGGAGTGTGTGTGTATGCACACTTACTGTAGAATGAAGAGTCAATGTCTACATATAGTGCACTTGTAACAGGCTGATACAGAAGTGGTGGCCAATTGTGCAGATAATTAAAAATTGTATTGTCATCAGGAGGCTGAAGATGTCAGATCTCAGGAGCATTCCCGCCTTCAGGTGAAGGCAGGCTGGTCACCTAAGGAGATGTGTTGTACTCTTTCTTTAAGCTCATCCCAGGACAGTAAACAGAAAGGACATGGATGTCTTCTCAAGGCTCCTCAGCCCACAGTATACACTTGAATCATCTGGAGATTTTTTAAAAATGTGAGTGCCAAGGCCAGAACCATGAATCAGAATCTCCAAGGGTGGGGCCTAGGCATCTTCACAGGACCTAAAAGCTCCCGAGAAGCAGTCAGGGTGGAGAAGCAGCAAGATAACCTAGTTTTCTCAACCTACAGTCCTTGGAATTGCCTGCAGGGCTTGGAGAGTGTGTGACTGGGCCAGGCCAGAGAGTGGCCAGAGCCTATGTTTTGGTGGCATGAAGTCTGTGGATTTCCATGTCTAGGAGATTTCCAGTGAGGTCAAGGCTGCTGGCACAGTGGTAGAGAAAGCCTAACCTGGCTGAGCCCTGTATGCCCAAAGCCAAAACTCAGAAGTTCGTGCAAGAAGCTGTTGACAAAGAGTCCTTGGTATAAATGGGCTCTATACACAGTTCCATACCAGTTTAGTGGCTATCCAGATCCCTCCCCAGTTCCCTCCTACCTGCATACCTTCAGACTCAAGCCTTGTCTCCTCTAGGATGCCCCACCCTCCCCAGCTAATTAACTGCATATGCTGGTGCCTTTTTTCTTCCAGACATTTATCCTAGGATTATAATCAATTGATTTACTTGTTGTATATGTACGAGCTAACATGTATTGACTTCCTATTTGGATTGTTCTTTAATTGCTTCCAATATGTGTAGTGCTGTCAACATTGTGAAGGTAGAGAGGTGTTCCTGCCCTCATGTCTGCTCTCCTCTCAGGGTGATTTGTCTCCCCAAGGATCTGGGTCCACTTAGGAGCTGCAGAATGGGCCACCTCCCTCAGGCAATGCCCGAGATAACCCTGCCTCAGGAAGCTGGATTTCCATTTGTCAGCTGGAGCAACTACCTTCTCAGAGTCTGGGTGCTGGCCAAGGTACCCAGCAAAGTCTGGACACAAAGCCAGAAAGAATATATAGAATGGGTCAGGCTCCTCCTCTGTGGCCCTGGGTCCAGGTAGCGCCATGCAATACTGGGGACGAAGGACAAGATGCTTCATACACACTACTGATTTCTGTGACAGCTAATTCTTTGCCTTTTCACTGCACTGGAGACCTAGTGAGATATTTTGAAAATTCCCTGTCTGCCACCACAGTCATTTAAGGAACCTAGGGAATCCAGACTCAAGTCTTTATAACTCTCAAATACCAAAGCTAAAAACTAAATCAGAACAGAAGATTCGGGGCATATACCTGAACTAAGCTAGATTTCATTCTCTCCAAATCCTGGGAAGAAGGATTTTCCTCCTGCCTTTGCCTTGGCTTGGCAGACTTTGAGAGGCAGTTACCACTTTGAGCCCCAGTGAAATTTTCTCTGTGAACAATAGGAAGAAACAACCTTCCCAGTCAGTATCTGACCCAAAGAGTCACATTCTTAATCGCCTCCAGAGGTTCAAGGCCTTGCTAGTCAGCTGAGGGATGCAGGTGTCTAATTCACAGAGTGCCAGAAGCAACCAGGGGATCTCTTGATATTCAGAGTGCTCCTACACACTTGCCAGGCACAGGATGGCCAACAGCAGGGTACCTTCAGGGTGTCCAAGAACAAAAGTAGGAAGTTTTAAAGTCATATGATTTGGTCTATTCTGTGATGTCCCATAAAGTGACAGCTTTCTTCAATACTGTATCCCCAGGGTCAGGTTTCAATGACCACAATAATAATAAATTGAAATAGGCCACTGCTCCAATCCAAGAGGATAGCACTACAAGATCATATGGGGTATGGACATCTAATCATCCGTGGAAGAGCTGAGATGGGACAGAAGGAGGTGACATGGGCAGGTGCACCAAGCCACCTGAACATGCTTTTCAAGTAGCTCCCCTTCTCTCCTAGAGAGCCTTGACCTCCTGGGCATGTGGAAGTTACAAGAGCCTTGTACAATGCTGAGAAGATGTATAGCACTGGACTCATAGTTTACTACAGATGAAGAGATCCAATGTGCCTAAATTCATGCAAGGACACTCAGAAATGTTCCCTTAAGAATCTCTCCTACTGGGACACGACTATAGAATGCACAGCTTGTGCACCTGGATGCTTTTTGAAATTAAAAAAATTTTATTTGTGACAGGTTCTCCCTGTGGCCCCAGCTGGCCTGGAACTTGCTATGTAGACCAGGCTGATCTTGCTCTCATAGAGATCTGCCTGCCTTTGCCTCCCAAATGCTGGGATTAAAGGCATGGACCACCAAGCCCAGCTTGGGTTCTCCTTTTCAGGAGCATTCCAAGTGCAGGAGAACCGGTTTGGTACAGTGCTGACCAAAGGTTAGGTACAGCCCTGCCTCCAGGTAGGGATACTCAGTGGACTTCAGATCGACACTGCTCACCTGGTGGGTTTATTAACAACTACCACCTGTATAACTATTTCTTGCAGCATGCTGGATTTGCTCAAAACACAACAAACTCATTTATCCTTCAAGTTCCCTGCTGTCAATCCTAGTAACATCCCCATTTTACAGATGAAAAACCTGAGGCTAGGAGAGTTGGATGACCAAATGAAGACACAGGTGAAGGGATTCACAGAGCTGGGTTCTTAGTGCAGGGAAGGGGGACTCTCACACAGAGGGTCAATAGGGCAAGCGTGGCTGAGCAGAGTAAACAGATGGCTTAGGAATCCGATTTTCTTTCACCTTTTCTTGTTTTAGACCCCCACAGTCACGTTGGGACCATCACCTATTTTCTGAGGAAAAATAACTCAGAATCTAATTTTGGGAAAAAGTTCAGTTTAACAGTACTAGCTTTGGGAGCAGGAGTGGGTGCGGTAGAACCCAGGGGAGGGTCTGTATCCACTCCCAGAGGGAGGCCCTCCAGGTGAGAAACGAACCATAGCACTGTTATTTCTTGCCTCCAAATCACAGCTGTGTCTGGACAGAAATGAATGACAACCCTTTCCTTTAACATCCCATTCAGAGCTGCATCCCTGGCTGACTGCATCTGTGGCTCTTCAACCGCTTTTTAAAAATATATCCATTTTTATGGAGACTGGACAGATGGCTCAGTGATTAAGAGCACCAACTGTTTTTGCAGAGGACCTGGGTTCAATTCCCAGCAGCCACATAGCAGCTAACAACCATCTATAACTCAATTTCCAGGGAATCTGATGCCCTCTTCTGACCTCCATGGGCACTGCACACACTATATGAGTATACTTACATACAAGCAGGCAATATATTCATACACATAAAATAATAAAAATCATATATATTTATTAATATTTTGTGTATAAGTGTTTTGCCTGCATGTATATAAGTGCACCATAGTGCATGCAATGCCTGTAGAAGCCAGAAGAGGGTGTCAGATCCCCTAGAACTGGAATTAAAGACAGCCGTTAGCCCCATGCAGGTGTAATAGCAGCAAGTAATAACCACTAAGCCGTCTCTCCAGCCCCTTGTCTAGTAGCCCTATAGTATGGAAACTTTTTTTGGGGGGGTTGGCAGTCTCTTAGTAGTAGAAGAAATGCTCATAATAATTTTTAAGATCTGCTGGTCAGCAGTAGGATTAGGGATCTTCTTTGGCCCCTCAGGAGGAAAATGGATTCGATGGGCACTGCCAGGTGATGGGTAAGGTTCAATCCCAATCTCTCACTCTCATTAATTGGCTGTGTGACTTCTAGCAAGTCATTTTACTTGTTCATATGTTTCTGCAGCTGCCAAATAAAGGTGGCAACACCTGCCTCTCCTAGCACAAAAAGGATATTGTGTAAACGAATGAGTTATTAGCTATGATTTTCAGTACTGTCCCATGTTTATCTGTTACATGCCTACCACGAGCCAGGCTGTACCAGGGAGCTGAGGACACTGATAAATGATTCTGCCTCCCTTCAGGGAGCTCAGGATGGGGACAGGGACAGCCCACGTTATATTTACAAACTCCAGGGCAGTCTCTAGAGAGGTTTACAAGAAGATCCTGGGAGGAATATGCAGCCCTGAGGAGAGGCTTCCTGGAGGTGAGGCATAAGCTAAGGTTAAGAGAGAAAAGTGCATCTGTGGAAAATGCTGCATGTGATGTAAACCTGAAGGCAGCATCACTGGGTTTGAGCCCAGATCTCTTGGCAATTAGGTTTCTTAGACCTGAGTGCTTGGGAGAGGATGAGATTTTAGACACAGAGTGACTGAGGTTACTCAGGAACCAGCAGATCCACTACCTGTCTCACTAGGGTTATCACAGTCTCTGGCTCAGGACTCTGGACTTGCATGTTGTATACATGTATCTGAAGC